GTGCCTCAGACGCTGTCGGAGCAGGACAGGCCCCCCCGGTGCTGCCCGTTGGGGATGGGGACGTGTCGAGCTGGTGGCACCCGGAGCGGGGACAGGAGCGAAGGTTGGAGCGCAGGTCCCCACAGCGAGTCCCTGGTGGGAGCGGGGATGGCCGCAGCCCCACTGTTTGCACCAGGCCCGACTCTTGGTCAGGAACGGAAGGAAACATAAATAATACAGAAACCACCCGAATGATAGCTACTGGGCTGGTTTGTTTAAGTGCCCGGAGCGAGGACAGGAGCGAAGGTTGGAGCGCAGGTCCCCACAGCGAGTCCCTGGTGGGAGCGGGGATGGCCGCAGCCCCACTGTTTGCACCAGGCCCGACTCTTGGTCAGGAACGGAAGGAAACATAAATAATACAGAAACCACCCAAATGATAGCTACTGGGCTGGTTTGTTTAAGTGCAGCGTGAGTGGCCTGTGGAGAATGTTAGGGCTGTTGTGGGACGGTAGCAGAGCTGGAAACACTCGGGCTGCCCCGGGGTTTAAGGAGAGGGGCAGAACCACTTGCTGGCTTTCCTCTGCTCCGATCCGACCCAGTCCAACCTCATACAACCTCCTCTCTGCCTGTCGGTGCCTTGAGGTTCTGGCATGGCTGCCGGGGTAGGATTTGCCACGCACATGCTGCCTGCAGGCCCCAAATCTTGGCAGCGGGCAGGAAAAAGCCCCAAGGCAGGAGAGCTGAGGGGATGCTGCAGGGGGGGAGGTTGTCTGGCACCTATGGGATGCCCGGGCTGTGTCAGAGAGGGGATGTGGCGTTTAAGACAGGTTTTATCCCACTGCTGATAAATCTCCCCTTCTCATCACAGCCCCCAGCAGCCCTTGGCCGTGGTGAGCCACCCTTGTGGCTGGCATGGAAGTGTTGGTGGGCCATCGCGGGGGCTCAGCGAGGACAGGATATGGCCCAGGGGGGTCGTGCTGGCTTGTGCTGCGGGCGCACAGCTCCGTGCTGGAGCAGGACAGAGGGGAGCGAGATAAGGCAGTGGCTCCTCTGCCTGTGCCGCGGAGCGGGCGCCGAGGGCAGGACTTTGCCCCACGTGGTGCCGTGGCGGTCGGATGGTGCCAGGGTGGCAGGAGCCGCCCGGGAACCGCCCCGCCCGGCCAGACCGGCTGCCCCCCCG